CTCATCAATGGTTGTGTTGACAATGATGATGAGAACTGTGTCTAGAGGATATGTTGACAATGATACATTGAACAGTGTCTGGAGGAGCCCCTATCTCCATCCCTGAACTAACAGATTTCGCACTCAAATTTGACATTTTTCCTAAAGTGATAAGAAAATAGATACATGTTTGAAGAAATCATTATTGACTTTTTTTGCTGTGCCACTCTAGACCTTGTGAGGAGTCCAGTAATAGGTGGAAAATCTAATGTGAAAGCAACTGGAATGCTAAGTTTATTAGCCCATCCTCTTTCCTAGATGGAGAATTAACCTAAGCAATTGTGATGACTCAGGGCATGGCACAAAGACAACACAGTCAGATAATCAGTAGGAGTCCCTTTATTAGCTCCAACATTGCCCCAATGTCCTGGTTACCTTCTGGCTGGAGAAAAACTATCCCAGGAACAGCCTTTGGCTGCAGAGAAAAGTTCAAAACGTGGTCAACAAAAACTATAAGTCTAATCAAGGCAAAATGAGGTAATTAGTCCGGCAGGGCAGAAGCAAGAATTCCAGATGTGAAGGCATGGCAATAACTCAACACGATTGGGAAGACTCCAGGAACACAGATAATCAAAGTCAACACAAGATAAACTCATGTTTGCTCCCAGCAGCTGCTGCACTCAGCATGCTTTTCTTTTAACTCTCTTACCCAGATATGGCTAATGAAGGGAATCAGGGCCCTTTCCTCCCCCGTAAGCCATGCAACCTACATTGCTCTCTTCTCCGTTCCTCCCTAAATGAAGAGGGGGTGGGCCCGGGTCTTCCTCTGAACTCTCTCTCCCTTATTCTACCTTTTCCCTGCTCTGCCCAGTTGGACTTTGCCCTTCCCCAGTTTCCTCCACAACCAATGGAGCCACACTCCCACTCTCTGTCAGTTGTTTGTCTTTCTCCTCAGATTCAGACTCTGACAGGGGCATGACAGCAATAGACTTCATTCTTCCTAAAGTTTATTCCCCACTAACTAGAGAATCTTATTTCTTGCTAATTAAAAATAAGTTTCATTTAACTGACATAAAGCTAAGTCAAACTCCCAGCACTCTGTTTATTGTCCTCCAATATCATGAAATTCACGCCACTAAAATTTGGGGAAAATGCAGTTTTTATTTTCATTTGACGTAAAATAAACATGACATGGTAAAGATGAAGTAACCATACCCATTTCCTTAACACACTACCATATCGTCCCAAATGGATCGAAATTATGATGCCAGTTTTGCCACCAAATGTTGCTGATATGATTTAGGGGAAGCTACCCCAAAGAAGGGGCTACCCCAAAGAAGGGCTGTTGTATAGCCCCACTAGTCTAACCTTTGTGTTGAATGAAACAATGGGGCCAGTATATTATTCAATAAGATTGTACCATTTATATGAATGGTGTTGCAGGGAATCTCAGAAAATCAGGTTCAAATCCCCTCCGCAGACCTTTCGATAACCCAGAGGTAGTAATTCATCTTTCAGTTTAACCTACCTGCAAAAATGAGGAAAAGATGAGGAAAAGATTAAAAGCATCACCTTGACATGGAAGAAATCTGGTGTGCAAAATAATCAATAAATAAATGTGGTTATGTTAAATTATTTAGTATCTTTCACTTTTGCTAGAGAAATGAAGAATGGTTGATTCATTCTTCACCTTGGATCTAAAGTGTGACCTCCTCATATTTAGTTTTGTGGGAGGAAATGAAATGGGGGAAAAAGGATGAGAAAGAAAGCTGTTGGATGAGCACAATTTTGTTTGATCATCTTGTAATTTGTCCAGAATATTTGCTTTATTATGAATTGCCCAGAAATCATTGTGCCTTGAGATAGATGATAGACTTCAAATATAATCAGGGATGATTAAATGAATGATCAAAAACTAAGCAAGACTGACGGATGGTGCTTTGAAGGGACTTTCACAATAAACTATGTAAGCTATGAGTCTTGTCATGACACTGATCTTTGACTCATTCTTACTCTGACTCTATAAAGTCAGATACCTCCAGCCTATTAAGGCATGGAAAGTCATGTCATCCAACAGGCCCCAATCTCTGATTTATTCAGGCCTCAATGGGTGAGTCAAGAGCAATATTATAGGAAAGTAAGTTTAATGTGATATGAATAACTTAAAAAAGAATTGTGATAAAAGAATTGTTTAGAGGTTGATATAACACATGAAGTAGGAGTTGTAATAGCAGGTTGTCTTGGAAGGAAACAGAGGTCAAGAAGCTTTCAGAATAATGTGATCCTTTAGATGCATAATTATGGTGTGCCTAAGCGCACCAACATGCCTACCGTCCCTGTCCTATTGTTTCCTTTATTTTTATTTTTCTTATATGTATCCATGTGTTCATAATTATGTTTTTACTTATACCTATTACCTTGTAAGCAATTGACAAACCAAATAAATAAAAATAAAATAAATGCAAGACAAATTACGGGGTTCACTTCTGGAGAAGTTTAAAAATATGTAGTGTTTGCTAGAAGATCAGTCATGAGATATACGAGGGGTGGTAACTCAAAAGTTGGGAAGATTATTTAGAAGTTGAAAATCAAGTTCAATCCTTGGTCTCTATGGACAAAGACAGGAAAAAAAATATTTGCTGACACTTTGGAGACCCTGCCATTTAATGATACTGATTGGGTATGTTGGACTCATTGTATGGCTCATTCATGCTGATCAGCACTGATGTTTATCTAGAAGTAAAGTTGTTTTTAAGAGCTTTGTTTATAACGTATTTTCATAGACCTAGGCTAGACCCACACTTTCTGCTTGATCATTCACTAGTATGGGCCACTCTTGACAACTCCTCCCCACCTCTCCCAAATTCATCCTTCCTTTGTGGTTTCCAGCTCTCATTCAAAACTGCTGTCTCCTGACCTTTCCGCTCTGTAGGGCATTTCCAGTGCTTTGTTTCATTTAATAGTAGCCCCAGTTTGGGTTAGGCTAGCCTCCAGAAGTTGTGTGTGCTCCCTCACTGGAGATTTTAAAGAAGAAATTGGACAGCCATTTGTCTGAAATGGTACAGGGCATGTCATCATGGCATCATCACGTGACCTATTGGGACGTTTTCCCCCTTTTGCTAAACTGGGCGTGAGCGTGGCCAGCATGTGATGCATCTGGCCCATGGGCCTGGAGTTTGACAGCCCTGGTATAAGCTCTCCTGTTTGAGCAGGGGGGTTGGACTAGAAGATCTCCAAGGTCTCTTCCAACACTGTTATTCTGTCAAGGGCAAGTCAACTCTCCTGCGTAGCCATTCCATTCTGGGTTGTCAAGCTGCTATGTTCTCTGAAATGTTTTAAATCTTGCAATTGAATCAGCAATGACTCACATTCTCAGTCCTGGAGATTTGTGCTCTGGTTAGCCCTGACATCCCCCCAGGGGGAAAACCTTTGCAGTTTCTATGGAGTCTTGCGTGAGGCATGCTTTCCTTGCTCTTCTATGTCCTGCTCACTGTTCTGTGTGTTTTCTTTCTCTTTTCTCTCTTTAAAAAAAAGCATTTCAGCTGCCACATAGAAAGATGCCACTTTGCTTCTGCGAAGGTGGTGCGCCAGTTGTCCTGGCTACAAAGCTCCCAGGGACAGACAGGAATGTAGGAATGAGCGAACAATCTGCTTCCTATGGCTTTGATTCTTGTTGCATTGGAACCAAGTGATGCTGGGGATGGGGGAAACAATAGATAGAGTCTGCATCTGGGAGCATCAAAGGAGATTGCTAAGATATTTCTGTGGGTAAAATCAAAGGAAAAGCACAGGCACTAATAAAAATCCCTAAAAGAAAAGGGGCAGGCGCTGGTATATTGTACAAAGCTGCACAGGTGCCAGCCAACAAGGATTGGCTTCTTTCCATGGATAGGAACGCAAGAAGCTGAGGAACAACATATCCAGTGCTCAGTGCCCATAGTCCCTACTTAACACCCGCCCAGTCCCATTGTCATCCCTCTGGAGTCTGACTGGAAATATGCTTCAACCGCAAAGGAAGAGTGAATACAATTTAACAAAATCACAAAGTTGGGAAAGAAAAGTTTCTAGGAAGCTCTCAAAATGACCCTTGCCATCTTTTGGGCAATGCACTCTACATGGGGGCTACCTCTGAGTTCACCTGAATGCTACATCAACAATCCAGCTGCAGCAACGCACTCTGTCATTGGGCATGTCTCAGTAGGCCCATGTGGCACCCTTGCTCCACAAGCAGTATTGCTTGTTGGCTTCCAATACAAGGTGTTTGTTACAACCATGTCATAGGACGTAATTATCCGCAGAACTGACTATCTCCAATTGCCCATCCTGTGTGATCAGGGAAAGAAGGAATGCTTCAGGGCCCTTTCTCTGCTGAGATGACTGTCCTCTGGGACAGGAGCCACCCCAAAGATTCATATGGCTTCCACCCAGATGATGAAGCCTCTAGAATTCTGGCTGTTCCACCAAGCCTTAGGTCACGAAAAGTGCTAAGCTAAGTGTTCAATTCTACTTAACTGAGGACATGCATGGTTTGTGTTTTTTATTTTTCTATTGTTCTGGTTTATGCAATGTTTCATTCTGGCGTTTCTATTTTTCCATATTTTTGTTAATGGCTTTGACAATGAGGTGGAAAGGAAGGCTATCCAATGTGCAAACAACACAAAACAGGCTAGGGTTTTATAATGTATATTTTAAAATGACTATTGAAGATGAGGATTGGGTATAGATTCCTTTTCAAAATAAAATCCCTAGAATGGAGTTCAGCTAAGAAATTAGAGAGTTCGGCTGATGTATTAAGCTTTAAAAAACAGTTGGCCTGCGTAAGAAAACTAAGTGTATTATATTCCAATATTTATGGGGAAGTAGATACATATCTTACGCAGCTCTGTAAAACGAATCTCTGATCTGAAAAAAGAAAGAAAGAAAAAAATTCAGGACTTCACCTGTGAGAATTGTTCCACCTTTCGCTGTGTACCTCTCTTCCTTATAAGGCAAACCAGGAAGTAAAAGGACTGTGCGAAATTCCATAACCATGCTGCTTGCTATCTATCAGGCTACCTGCTTAGGTACCAGGGGTTTTTTGTCGTCGTTATTTCCTTTATACCAATGTAGCCTTCTGTTAGAGACTTTGAAAACCTCCACAATTTGAAAACCTTCAGCTGTATGTTAAAACGGCTTCCAAACTTTGCTTTTTCTGAGCTTAATTAATGTTTGATATATTTTGTGCCTGCAGCCAGAACTAAAAGCGAATGGGGATTGAATTGCTCTGTCTTTTTTTCCTATTTCTACAAAGGAATAAAAATGTACAAGGTAAGGCTAATTTTATATATGGGATACAAACTTAGGAGTGTGTATTTATTCATGTGAGTCTGTGTGATTTTGGGGTTCTGGATCTGATCTCTGCGATTATGATAAATATCTTGAAGAAATATAGCCCTACCTCCACCCTCACCCACCCCATTTTTTTTCAAGGACTTTGGTCTGACTTTATGAAGAACGATTCAGTGTCAGGTAAACAGACCAGGTCAAGGATTAATATAAAAATAATATTAAAAGCTAGCTGCTTTATCCTAATTATCCTCTTGAATAAAGCATCGCACTGATTTCAGTTAAAACTATTGCTCCACAAGGTTTATTTCTTAATTATTGAAATTTTAACGATTGTTTCCATCTGTTCTGTAAATGCCTAAGCGATTTTCCAACAAACAAGTAAAACTGGATTCTCTGACAAACTAACTTTGAGGAAGTCCGAATGCTGCCCAGAATGTTACAGTATGTACCTGACATAATTAAAGTATGAGCTAATCTAATACATTTCCTTGATGTACCATGTAGGAAATTGTGATTCAGGGAGTGCCATGAACTGTGAAGATTGTTTGCTCTCTGGACCAGGCTGTGGCTGGTGTTTCCAAGAGGTGAATTATTTCAAAGACACAAAAATAATGACTTGATGTAATTACAAATTATATGTTTGTTAAATAATATACTATTTGCATTCTGAACTCTCAGCTCCAAGCCACATTCTTCAGGAGAAATGTAATTCAAAGAGTGGGTCAAAATACCTACTTTAGAATCAGTGGAAATTAGCATATCCATTACTTACTTTTCTTTTTAATCTCTAGGCCCTAAGTCTGATTCTAAGCAATCTTAAAAGCTTTTTATACACCTTTCCATTTAACAAAAAAATTAATTTGTGACCTAGCAGCTGCTTAAGAAAAGCAACCTTGAATTCAACATTGATGTGCTTTAAGGATTATTAACCAGGCTCATTAATCACTTTCAAACTCACTTTTCAAAGGATTGTTCATATGTATAATTAACAAGTTTGGGGCAAAGAGGAATATTATGGAAGAAATAGAGACAATTTAAAAAGATAGGATATAATTGGGGCAAAAATTAATCTACAGAGAAGTTACATAACAGCCAAAAAAGATGTTCTACCAAGGATCAGATATTCTGAATCTGATCTTGCATCCATTAAAACAAGGAATGAAAAGAAATTAAATCTAATACCAGAGGGACACACTTTGCAACAGTTGTCTTTTTTAAGGATTTATTAACTAGCTAGAAATTGTCTAACATTTCCAATTCTGTCTCTGCCAATAAAGAGACTAGAAACTTCTGGCTCAGTTCAGCTGACCTAGTGATTCAAGCATGTGCTTGGGTTTTCATGAACCCAAATCATAGAGAATGGACTATGCTTCATGTAACAAGACTGGGGCACCTCCTTTGCTTTGTAAGTGAAAACAGAACTCAGAGATAATATAAATATGGTGTCAGACACCGGCTTCTGTGTGAAAGTGTGCATGATCAAAACTGCAGAAAATTAGTAGCTTTGGTTTGACTGTTTCTAAGTAACCGTATGACTTAATGTTTACACAATCTTGATTGTGCTTACAGAAAACAGTAAAACTTTTTTCTTACATTCAGACATTTTCAAATGAAGAAAGCATGCTTGGTCCTGTTTCCACATTCCATTATTTGGCATTTGTTATTGTTTTGGTAAATCCCAAACCCGACCCTATGAAAGAAACTCACAGTTAGTGATAGAAAACTCTGCTTATACAGTTTGCCTTTGTCTGGAATGTCCTCTTGAGGGGAAAAAAAAACCCAGGAACCTCAATGACGAGGAAATAAATTGGATGAAATATGATCACAATGATTGCGGAGATGCTGCGAAGGTCGTAAATGTGAAGACCAGTCATTAGTCCCATTTGTCAGAGCTGTCCTCCATTCAAATGGTTGTTAAGCAAATGGTCATAAGTCAAGAGCTATCTCTATGGCAGGGCTGTCAAACTCCCAGCTCATAGGCCGGATTAGTCACGTGTTGGCCATGCCCATGCCCAGTTTTAGCGAAGGGGGGAAAAGTTGCAATAGGTCACGTGATGCTGCTGTGACAACGCGAGTTTCACATCTGCTCTGTGGCAAGGTCACCTATGGAGATCTAATGTAGCATTGCCAACAAAAGCAACAGCAAAGAAGTCTCTCTTCCTACACCATGCCATTTCAGAACTCTTTGGCTGATGGATCTGCAACTTACTTTCCCTGCCTGTCCAGGTGGGACGGGCTCAGGGGTGGCATTCTACCAGTTCGCACCTATTTGCTAGAACTGGTTGTTAACATTCTGAGAAGTTCAGAGAACCGGTTGTTAGAAGAAATTACTGGCCTAATCCTGTAAGGAAGGCAGGAAGGAAACATTCTGGTGTTGCTTACAGAAACTGCCTCTCCATTAATCCTTTTTACATTCTTGGCAGGACTAGACTTCCTGTCTCAGGAACTTCTCTGGAGTTTTTTTCCCCCTCCTTTGCTGGTACTTTGCTTGTGTGGAGTGACCATTCAAAGTTACAATGGCACTGAAAAAAGTGACTTATCACCATTTTTCACACTTAACTGCTGTTGCAGCATCCCCACAGTCATGAGAGGCCAGGGGAGGAGATGCGTGCCTCGGTGTGAATGATATTGAGTTGGCCACACCCAGCCAATAGCATGACCACCAAGTCATGCCCACCCAGTCACATGACCACCAAGCCATGCCCATCAACTAAGCCACACCCACAGAACTGGTTGTTAAAAATTTGAATCCCCCCTTTGGATGGGCTGATGTAATGAGATGAAGATAGTTCCATAGGTAACCTGGCCCCATGCCGTATCCCATCTCTTATCTCTAAGTAAATTCTTATTTGTTTGTTTGTTTGCTTAATTTATATGTGACCCATCTCCATTTTCAAAGCAACTTTCCTTAAAGCCTCGTCGTTCAGTTCTGATCAGTGAAAGTCCATTTAAGGATTATCAGAGATAACAACATATCAATTTTGACCTTGATCAAAATAAACCAACCTTATAGTCCTTCCTTTTATTTTTAATAATCTTGATCTATTGTTCTTTAAAATAATGGCCTAGAGCTTGATTTCTTTTCTTTTTGTTCCTTCTTACGAAATTCTTCCAAATTTTAACAAGCCTCTTTTGTACAACCCATGTAGGCAAATTATCCAAGTCACTCTCTTGGTTTGTTGTTTGTTTATCCTTTTAATTATTAAGACATTCAGACGGTTTCTTTTTATGTCCAGAGTAACATTTTTCTCCATGTCATTGTTGTAGCCTATCATTTTTAAATGCAGTTTCAGATCAGTTTCAGTCTTGAACAACAAAGCCTGTTCCTCTTCCATATCACCTTTTAAACAGTCTGTCTATAGAGACACACACTTTTAAAATTAACAAATGAGTTCAGTGTTCAAAACCATCCTTCAATATGTCCAATATTAAAAAATCTTTTGCTCTATTCTCTATTAGTAAGCCAAATTTAAGCTATTCTCCTTCAATTGTAATCTTTAATTCCTTCTATTCTCCAACCTTTAGTCTCATCCTATCTTTTTAAAAAAGAAAATTCAAAACAAAGGCATTTTCCCATTGGAAGGATTGTTCTAATTAATGCCAAAGTCTTATTTCAAATTCAAATGGACTCTTAGTCTATTTGTAGCTTTCCACAATTAAAGTTCTAATCACCCTGTTTATTTTTAAAAAAGTCCTTAAACTTGAATTTAATTTTTTTTTTTTTGCTAAGGATTGAAAGAAACTCTGATAGACCTGTAAAATTTGTCATTCCAAAGATTCCTAACAGTTGAAGTTAACAAGTGATTTGGAACTCTGGTGGCGCAGTGATTAGAGTGCAGTACTGCAGGCAAACTCTGCCCACAGCCTGGAGTTCAATCCTGATCGGTTCAAGGTTGACTCAGCCCTCCATCCTTACGAAAATGAGGCAAAATGAGGGCCCAGATTGTTGAGGGCAATATGCAAATAATGCTTCTTTATTTTAAACCACCCAGAGAGTACTGTAAAGCCCTATGAAGCAGTACAGATAGTCCTCAACTTACAACAGTTCATTTAGTGACTGTCCGAAGTTACAACGGCACTGAAAAAGATGACTTATAACCATTTCCCACACTTACAACCATTGCAGCATCCCCATGGTCATGTGATCAAAATTCGGATGCTTGGTAACGGGTTCGAATTTGTGACGGTTGCAGTGTCCCAAGGTCATGTGATTCCCTTTTGCAACCTTCTGATAAGCAAAGTCAGTGGGAAAGCCAGATTCATTTAACAACCAGGTTATTAACTTAACAACTGCAATGATTCACTTAACAACAGTGGCAAGAAAAATAGTAAAACGGGGCAAAACTCACTTAATAAATTTCTCGCTTAGCAACAGAAATTTTGGGCTCAATTGTAGTTGTAAGTTGAGGACTAGCTGTATATAAGCCTAACTGCTATTGCTATTACCAAAAGAACATAGCTATTCTCTCATTTCTCAGAACTCTAAGCCTGCCAGAGACCACTGTTTTGCAATGTCTTTGCAAGGAGCAATTGTTTGGAGCAATTGTGGGTGATCTCAAGTCCTCACCTTGTCCAGAGAGGAATTCTAAAGAGCTGCTGTACTTGCTGGCTTTTAATTCCACTGTTGTCTTTGCTTTTAGCAGAGCTGTCCTCACTTCTCTATTTCTTCCCTGGAAGTCTAACAACAGTAGGTCTGATATCTTTTTGAAAGTCTGATTTCTAAAACTAAAAGCCAACTTCCATTTTGAATAAATTCAGAAACAATTTTGCTTTTAGTATGAATAGGAGCAATGCCAATCTTGACTTAAAAGAAATTGTGTTGTTGAGAAAGTAAGCTTGGTAAAGGTATATTTATATTCTATTCATATAATTATACACTATGCCTTCTCAGTGTAGCAACTATTTTTTCCTGATCCATAGCCAGACCTTAATGCTATAAATGTAACTAAGCATGGGATAGTTCTTCAGTTCCCCTGTTCAAGAAAGATCCTAAGAATTTTTTTGTGTGTATGTGTATGTGTTTGTGTGTATGTGCCTTTGAGACAATGTTAACTCATGGACAAATCCTTGCAGTTTTTTCTGCAAGATTTTCAGAAATCATTTGCCCTTGCCCCTTTCCTAGGGCTGAGAGAGAGTGACTGGCCCAAGGTTATCCAGCTGGCTTTGTGTCTAAAGCAGGACTAGAATCCCATGGGATTAATGTGATTTTCTTAGGGCTTATCTTCACACCTTGCTAACTGCAACTTAAATATGGCTCATTAATCATTTTTAAAGGACATGACATGTCCTCCTGGCATTGGCTTTGTCTCTTCCGCAACCCATTGTGCGGATAATATAGGTTCAAATGTATCTGTTTCGGTTTGGAAGTGGTGATTTCCCCTCTTCTTCAAACACAAGTTTGTGTGAATGATCTGGGATGGTTCCTCGACAGGAATGAAGATGGCATTTGAAGGGGATGCAGGCAGGTTCTCTCTGTTCTAGTTGCCACCCATTTTAATAGGAATAGCCAGAGACCTTGACTTCCACAGAGGCACCTGGGGATTAAGGAAGAAGCACACTCAGCATGAGAGATTGTGGGGAGGCTGAGAGAGGAATGGAATAGAGAGGTGACAAAACAAACAAGAAACTGCAGGCAAGCGAAATGATAGCTTATCATTCTGAGAGATTCGTTCTTAATTACCTCAAAATAAATGAGGTTGGGAAATTCCTCTTCAAGTTTTCAAGATTCTGTATCTCCCTCGACTATCATTATCATTAAAACGTTGATTATATGCCATCAAGTTGGTGTTAACTGTTAGCAACTCCATAGATAACCTTCCCAGGATAGCATTAAAAATCCTTCAGTGAAGTTTGTATAGTGCTTGTATCCTTGGTTTTAGTTCATTCCTCAGTAGGCATGCAAAGGCTTGCATGGTTTGCATCGGAAAAACATTTTGCCTGCCCATGTTGTGATTGTGTAGCCTGAGGCAAGTTTCGACTGCTGAAGCCTATCCTCCATGGATCTTAAAGTAGATTACTTCCACGAAAACTCATATTTGGATGTCAGCCCTAGTAGGAAAATATTGGAGAGAGGGGGGAAACTAACCTTCATCTGTCCCCAAAAGGACATAGAAACAAAACATCAAGGTTAGTGTTATCATGATGTGTGCATGCTTTTTAAGGGATTATCTGATTATCAATTGATGTGAGCTGATAGTTGGACTACTTTTGGAGGTGGATTTAGTGTTCTTCTAGAACACTAGGATTTTTTGCTCGTACAAGAAAACGTGTACAAAACCAGACAGGGTCTAATAATAATCATGCCCTTCATCAAACTCTACTTAACCAAGAAAATGGGTGGATGTGGAATGTTTCCTCCTAGTCCAAGCCCATTCAGGTTAAGCAAACAATTGGCAAATATTTCTCTACTTCCAGGAGATACTCAATGAGAGTGTAAACAGAGCCAGGGGAATCCACTAATCATTTTCCTTTACTTGCCCTGCATTCAGACTATAAGGGTGGCACCAGTGCCAGGCCTGTTTCTCAGGCAGAATAGAATACAGCAATGAGATTCACAGGAAGTTGCCCAGAGGTGGTATTCAGCAGGTTCTGACCAGTTCTGGGAACCGGTAGCGGAAATTTTGAATAGTTCGGAAAACCAGTAAATACCACTTCTGACTGGAGATTTTACAGTATCCTTCCCCTGCCATGCCCACCAAGCCACACCCACAGAACCGGTAGTAAAAAAATTTGAATCCCACCACTGAAGTTGACGTGTTTCTGTGAGCACAGGTACAAGGAATGGGCACATTAGAGCAGGTGTAAATAACAGCCCTCAGTTTTCAAAACAAAGAGTGATAATCAAGAAGCCAGAATGTTCTTCTTGTTCTTTTTATTGTAAGGTCATCATACAGTATAAAGATTCTTATGGAAAGGCATTGTTGCTGTTTTTAGTAAGGAAAAAAAATACCTTATAGAGTCGATTCCATGAGTTTTCAGGAAAAGACAAGTGAGTGGGATGCTAGTTTCCTCCAGCTCCTTTTTTGCATCATTTCTAAAGACTTACACAGACGAATACGTTAGATATTCTGTTCCACAGATATTTCAAACGTAGACCCAAATGATTTAAATATGGGCATGCTAGCCAGGATTACATAAAAAGACTCCAGAAATATATATGTGTGCTTTATGTGCTATAATGCAAAATGTTAAACTGGGAATATTATTTCTAGGCTAGCTTACAGTACTTCTATTTAGCCATTCTATAATAAATGGAGTATTTATCGTTTTTGTCTGAGCAAAATCCTTTTTATTAATTAAAGATGCCTAACCAGCAGTATTATTTTATTTTATTTTATTTTATTTGGTTTTATCTATATTTTTATTTGGATATGTTGGATTTCAACTCTGAATCACCCGAGAAATTGCCCTTGGATCCAAAGTGAACTTCTACTCTGAAATATTTGATCTAATGTATATTTTTTCCAAAATGGTTTTGAAATTAGATCAATTCCATTATGTTATTGTTAGAAAATGGGGAAAATATTACTTTGAAGAAACATAGAAACTTTCCTAGTGTGTCATTAGAAGCCTCTGATCCGTCAAGAGGATATCTTATCTGGCCTGTGGCCAGCCTAGCAAGGGTTAAGGGTAGGGTTAAGAAGGAAGCATAACCAGATGGGTTAATTCTACTTTATAGTTTGTTTGTTTTTATACTATTTATTTAAAACCTTTTCAATGAAATAAAAGCAATACTTTTGAACCAAAGAGAGAGAAAATAAGGAAAACGTAATAAGAAAGTGAAACATTTTAATGTTGTAAGCCTCTCAGAGTCATCTGTGTGTGAGTTGGGTGGCCACATTAATTTGTTCAATAAATAAATAAAAGAAAAGAAATAGAAAATAAAGAATATGAAAAAATGAATCTTCTTAACAGCAGTTATAAGTACATTTCTATTTTATTCTCTCTCTGTTCCTTCATAATTCTCTTTTTTTCACAATCTACCCTTTCTATCTCCTATCTTCAGAGGGGAGGAAACACAAAGAAAGTCCCCAAACATAACGATGAAATATCATCCAATGCATGCACATAGCAAGAATTATTTCTTTGCTCTGTAAACACCCATTCTCATGATTAATAAAGGCAATTTAGCACTGCACATGGTTTTCGAGTTACAACGGTTCATTTAGTGACTGTTCAAAGTTACAACAGCACTGAAGAAAGTGACTTATAACCATTTTTTTTTCACTTACAACCACACACGATCAAAATTCATGCTTAGCAACAGATTCATATTTATGATGGTTACAGTGTCCAGGGGTCATGCGATCCCCTTTTGCAAGTTAAGTGAATAGGGAATTCAGATTCACTTAGCAACTGAGTTACTAACCAAATAACTGCAGTGATTCACTTAACAACTATGGCAAGAAAGGTCGTAAAATGTGGCAAAACTCACTTTAAAAATATCTCGCTTAGCCACAATTGGGGTCAATTGGGGTCGAAAGCCAAGGACTAACCATATATACCAATTTATACGTAGATTCAATTTCAACATGATCCATCTTAACATTGTTTGCCCCATGCTCTCACATACACATCTAACGTGACACACCTCATGGAAAAAGCATTATTGTGTTTCGTTTAAAATTAGAGCCTTCCATTTAATTAGACTATTTTGTATTTCACCGGGTTTGTTTTTTCTTCTTCCACTCCTTTGTAGAATTTTACTGATTTATCTGACATTCATAAAAGGTGTGACACTCTTGAAAAGCTCATTTCGGAAGGATGCCACCTGAATTTCATTGAATTTCCCATTTCCAAAGTAGAGATCCGTGAAAACAAACATCTGAGCGATGGGCCACAGATAAATGGTTCAGAAGTCACTCAGATTTCTCCTCAAAAGATAACTGTTTTCCTGCGGCCAGGTACGTTACATCATCACATCTATAAAACTTTTTAAAATAGCTTGTTATTTATTTATTTGTGAACTGTCTCAATCTTGAAGAATTGTAAGAGTTTACAAAAAGCCATGGCGATAAAGTCAATGCACAAGTTGGTCTACAAAAACTATCCAGTAAGGATTTGAAAGGAGATATCTGAATTCATTTACTAGAGAGTAAGCTTTGTTCAACTTAGGAAATCTATTTCTGAGTAAGTACCTGGGGATTTTTTTTAATCAAGTGATAAAAGGACACCTGAGGCTGTATGAGACACAACCATTTCTGTAAAGTTAATATTTTGTTCACAATAGCTTTAGCAATTTCCTTTTTTTCCTACTGCAATATTAATATGGCACAGAACAATAGAATCCATCACAACTTACAAGCAAATATTTATCATTTGAGCATATTATAATGCTCCTTCAGTCCAGATAGGTGTATTTGTTTAGCTATGATTGCAGCACATTTGATGAATTGATTTGAGAAATATACAGGTTTGTAGCAGGGGAAATAGTAATTGATGAAAGCAGAAACAATTTACTAATGTTCTTCTCCAAAAGAGACCCTGTCTTTTCAAATAATTTCTCAATAAGTGATGTTCTCGTACTTTGCCAACATTACTAAATCTCATTAAATGATTTTCAAAAAAAAAAAGTGCACGTTGAATTGGACCCACAAGGAAACTGTCAACCAATACAGCTCATGAAGCAGAGGTATAACATCTGCAGTCCTTGGAGCACACATAATTGCCCAAGCTCCCTAATGCCCAACATGTGGTCTTGTGAACCATTGGGAGGGAGAGTGGCACAACCCTTTATAATGGATGGGAGGAGGGTACTTTACAGGCTGTAAAGCACTCATTCTGTGATCTTCATGAATATGAATGTTTGTTAAGCATCATAATATCCAGATATGAGGGAGATAGGGAAATAGGGAAATAGGCAGGCAGGCAGAGCCCAAGGTCACCCAGCTGACTTGATGCCCAAAGGGGGACTAGAACTCACAGCCTCCTCATTTCTAGCTAATGTATTCAGTCAGCAAACTGGCTCTCTTGAACAGAATAAATGGATTTATTATTTGAAAGTAAAATTATTCACTGGAACTCTTGTGTTGTCACTCTAATTCCTAAGAAATCTTGCTGATTTGAGCTCAGGGACCCTTATTCCTTGGTTTAATAATTTCCAATCCTGATGATAGTTAGTCCTGATGATAGTCTGACCATAAAGCAAACTGAGTATGAGAGCCCCAGAGCACTGAGAGGCAATGGGAGTAAAAAGGTACATAGAACAAGGTGTGAATTTCATAAAACAAAGATGGCCACTGTCTGAGTTCACTACCACCTCCACTCCAGCAATGTTTAGAAGCTGTTACCACGATATATTTTTTTATGTGCCTCAGGGAGGAAATCATTAACTACATGGCCAGAAAATAGTTTTTAATATAATTTATATTAGTATTTGAATTTAGGAAGTAGCAAGATCATATTTGACTAGTTAAACATTAAATATATACATATCTATTGTATTTAATATAATATTAATCACATGTGCATTAATATTTAAAAGAAATACACTAAATAGTTTGAAATTAAACATAATAAAATTTTTGTTCCAGCCTCACCCACTAGTTTTTCAAATGTGGCCTATTAACAAGTTGGGTTATCACAGCCCATCACAGATGAATGAAGGTAGCTCAAAGTTCATATGGGGCCCTTGGGCCTAGAAACACCTGTCACTCAGGCGTTCCTCTGGAGATGTGCATGACAGATAAGAAATGCCACAAAGTATGTAACAATAGCTAGTAGCATTGGACTTTGCCAATAACATACAGTATTAGACCAAATACAGTCCTGTGCCCATCAGAAGTGTAAATATTTTCGAAAGAGTAGATATGTGAACTCAGGTGGCCCAAGACTTACTGAAAGGGGTGCTCCCAATTTCTCTTTCTTTCTTTCTTTCTTTCTTTCTTTCTTTCTTTCTTTCTTTCT